CTCCGGAGCGCCCCCCCCTGCGGAATGCCACGCCGCATTCCCCCCGCCGCCCCTTATCAGGTGCCACCCCAAGCATGTGCTTGGGTGCCTGGTGCCTGGAGCCGGCCCTGCCTCCCTCCCAGACCTGAAAGCCTCCAGTGGTAAAGCCACCCCGTCCCATCACAGGTGCCCTTGCCCCTCCTGGGGCTGATGGAGGAGGAGGTGCTGGCCATCTTAACAGAGACCCTGAAAGGTGAGGGGGACAGGGGTGATGGGCGGAGGTAAAGTTGGGGGTGTCAGCTCAGCAGGGAATGGGATCCCACCCCAGCCAGCACCTAATGCAGCAGGGTGACACCATGCAACATGGCAGCCCAAGGGAATGACCCACTGCAACCCAATACAGCACCCTGTGACCTCCCTGTGCGGGTGACACATCCCCAGCAACACCATGCAACCACCCCCCACCAAGGGACACAACGCAACCACACTGCGCCGGGTGAAACAATACAACCACACTGCGCTGCGTGAGCCCCCGGTGCAACATAATGCGACCTAACAATGTTACACCACATGACCCCTCCCCCCCAACGTGGTAATGCAACAACACTGTGCAGTGGAGTGACACTGTCCAGAATCCAAGCCTGTCCAACCCTCCCCCCAATTCCAAGACCCTGACTCCTGACCCCGTCCCTTGGCCAATCAGCACGTGCTGTGCAATGCCATCCAATAGATGGGAAACCCTGCAAAGAGCGGGCCCAAGGATGACATAAAGCTTGCCATAAACACTGGGGAGGGGGGAGGGAAGGTGGCTTCCAAGCAGGGGGCTAACTCCTCACAGGGCAGGGAGGGGGTGAGCCTGTGATGCAACTACTTGTGCCCACTAGGTGGAGCCCTTGCACCTACAGTGCCCCCCTCCTTCCCTTTGGCTGGGGCCTTAGGGCAGGGGGGACTATGAGCCAGTGTTGGTCACCGGATTTTCCTCACAGATTACCGGCGGCATCTGGGGGCAAGGCACCCGTTCACTCACCATATGGAGCAGCGCATGGAGCAACTGAGGCAGCAGCTGGGGGCTAGGAGCACTGGATCAGATGGGTCCACACCCCATGAGCCCCCAAACTCCCCTGCACCCCACCCCATCACCCCCAATTCCTGACCTTGGCACTTCACTCTCTCACACCAATGCCTGACCTCTGACCACCCTAATGCATGACCCCATCCCTCTCCCAAGCACCTGACCCCCCCCATCCCAGAATGCACTGAGATTTGGAACTTTGTAGACAACATTAAAATGGATCTTATCTCCTTTGCTCGGACCCATTGCCTCCTTGAGAACAGAACGAGGGGTGCTGTGCTGCAGGGAGCGGGCTTGGAACTCAGGAGGGGACACGCCCTGGCAGCCAGTGCTAACCCCAATGCTGTAAGGCAGCTCTAGGGAGTTGAGGGGGTCGCTGTGCTGCAGGTGGTGGGGAGGTGTTTGGTAAGGGATGTTCTCCTTGGACCGCGGTCCCTATATAAATAACCCCACCCCAGAGGTAGCTGCATCCTAGACTCCCTCCCCTGGCTCTATTATGAACAGGGTCAATTCCACACACATACATACATGGGGGCTGCATGGGAGCTAGAGAGCTGGGATACTAGGGAGGGGGAATGCAGGTCTAGTTGTCAGGGGGTGAGGGGACACTGTGGGTCAGGACTGAGGGGCGCTAGCAGAGCTGGGGCAAGGAGACTGGGTCAGGACCGAGAGGCACTAACAGCTGGGGGGAAGGGCTAGGATGGTGGAGCAGAAGCTACAGGCGCAAGGCCATTTCCTAGCACCCACATTGCCATGTTTCCAAGGCATTTTTTAAATCCTCAGTCCCCTCCACACACCCCCACCGACTCACCATAACTCTGCCACCTGTTGGCCATAGGTGAGAATAGCAACCCCACTCCCCCAGCTCCCTGTACCAGGCAGGGCTTCCCCCAGGTCAGAGACAAGAGACAAGGGCTTTCAAGTTGTGCTAGGGGCATAAGGATTGCAATGGGGCTCCTAGGGAGTGGGGATGAAGGGCTGTGAGCAGCCCCTAAGCCTGTGGGGAACCCTGGCCCTCCCTTTTCTCACATCCGTATTCCATTATAAAGCCCTCTGCAGAGGCTAGAATTTGCGCAGATTTTAGGAGTCACCTGTGAACTGAGTTTGTTGCTCCTTGACTCATCTCCTCTGCCTCCCTTATCCCATAAAATCAGCAAAAATATGTCTGGGAGGGGGGCAGGTCAGGACTGAGGGGCATTGGCAAAGCTGGCTTGGGCAGGGCTAAGATGGCAGGCATCTCTGAGGATGATAGGGCCCTGATCTCAGTTTTGGGTCTGTGCAGTGCCCAACATGCTTGGTCCCTAGGATAACGATATTGTGATAACATTGCTATGGCAGGGTATGCTGTTTAAACAGTCTTACTGCAAGCAGTGCTCAGTCCTGAAGATTTGCTTCCTTGTTAGTTTTGTAATGGTCATTCATTTGGGACGTCGCTGTTGCAAGCAGCTAGAGTTTGCTTCCTGCCTTTATCTCTCTAACTGGAGACTTCCCCGGGACCCAGGCATTGGTCTTCTGTCTAAGATCCCTGAGAGAAGAGATCATCCCCTGTGAGGTTTGCAACCACCTCTCTTTCAGGACTGGTGCATCTAGTGGAAATAAACAGCTGATACTAAGAAAATCTCCACATACATTATAAGGGACCCCTATGATTATCTAGTCTGACCTACTACATAACAGGCCATAGGATGGCCATGATTAATTCCCATTGGGACTAGAAAAGATCTTAGAGAAAAAACATCTCATCTTGATTTAAAATTTGCCAGTGATGGTGTTGCGGGCACAGAAGGCCCGAGGGGGGCAACAGCGGGGTTTGTTGCCCGGTGTGCTTCGCGCCAATGAACACACCAGGGTGGAGAAGCAGACAAAGTTTATTCAAGAGCTCTGAATAGGCACTAGGAGACCAGCATGTCTCAAATCAAGCGCGCTGATACAAGCAGTTTTTCCCTTTTTATCCTTTCCTTCCTCCCCCCTTCCTTCCCTACTTACCCCCTCTCCTCCCCCTGTAGCAGTTACATTAAATGACCTTGGCTGTGTAGCTTGTTCGCAATGTTCCCTTCTGCAAGTTATTTTGTCCTTCAGCTAGAAGCATGTAGGTTCCCCTTATCACTACCACTTTCCAGCTGCTGGCCTGTGAGGTTAGTAAAGTTTAACACGGAGGGGCTTTGGTTCACTTTGGCCTAGAGCCGGGGGGCTTCATCGACTCTCATGGTCTTCCACCCCACCCCACCCCACCCCGAGTTACCTAGGGTCAGGGCCGGCTCCAGGCACCAGCTTAACAAGCAGGTGCTTGGAGCGGAAAAGGGAGAGGGGCGGCACCTGCGGCAATTCGGGGGCAGCAGGTCCCTCACTCCCTCTAGGAGCGAAGGACCTGCCACTGAACTGCCGCCGTGATCGCAGCTTTTTTTTTTTTTTGCTTGGGGCGGCACAAATGCTGGAGCCGCCCTGCCTAGGGTGATGCCTAGTGACACCAACAGTGGAGAATCCATCACAATTCTCGGTCAGTTGTTCCAATGGTTAATTACTTCACTATTAAAAAATTGGGCATTATTTCCTGTCTGAATTTGTCTAGCTTCAACTTCCAGCCCTTGGCTTGTGTTTGACCTTTGGCTGCTAGATGGAAGAGTCCATTATTAAAGGCTTTTTTCCCCATGTGTAGGTACTTATAGATTGGGATCAAGTCACCTCTTAACCTTCTCTTTCTTCAACTAAACAGATTAAGCTCCATGAGTCTCTTGTTATAAGGCATGTTTCCTTTATGATTCCTCTGGCTGATAACTGTGTTAGGACCCTTCTAAATCAGCTTATCAGCCAGAAAAATTCCAGTTCTTTTAATGCTGTCTCTGCTTACTTCGCAGTCTGGTCCTTGTGTTGGGACCTTGCTTTAAGTGACAGCAACCAGGAGATGCGCTGCAGCCATGTCCCATTGATCTGAGGCTCCTGAAAGCATTGATTGGCTTGCCGGTGAAATTCTCAGGCACTGCTAACCCTGGAGCTTTGCTGTTCACGTGTGCCAGCATCTTAATTAAAACTGGTTCCCACTCCTTTGATATTTAATGGGCTAGTGGGAAGGGTTGGGGGATTGTGTAACTAATACAGCAATGCCTACCTGGGTTTGCAGAGGGCCTGACCATTGCTCTAAGAGGGAGGAGCTACTGACCAGGGGATGAATAGCAGCACAAGGTTTTTGTGGTAGAGTTGTGATGGCAGGGGAAATGTTGGGAATTGATCCTGGTTCCATGTACCGGTGGCTGTGATAGGTGCTGGGTCCCTGGGAGGACCCTGAATCAGAGCTGAGAGAACATGTCGCAGAATTTGACCCACTCCTGTCTCTGGGCAGCTCCTAGCATGGGACAAGGATGGCACCAGCTGGGGTACAGGAACAGTTACCCGGGTACCAGGAAGATGCGGTCTTGATTACTGGGGAGAGGAGAGAATGGTTACCTAGTTACAGAGGGGATTGTTACCTAGTTACAGGAGACTACTGTTGTAGTTACTGGGGGGATGGGGATGGTTACCTAGATAGCAGGAGGGACACAGTTAACTGGTTACCAGGAGGGTGTCATGTTGGTCAAAGGGATGCCTGTCCTGCCTGGTTACAGTGTTAGCAGGCAGCCCCCTGTGATGTCAGAGATGATACCCTAAACCTTTCACCAGATACATGGGGGGAATTGCTGGAGCCCCATCCCAGAGGGAACATGGATCCCAAGGAGTGGAGGGGCTCAGTAGTAGGTGTAAGAGGCAGCATTGTCTAGTGAGGAGTCAGGACTCCTAGGTTCTATCTCTGGCTCTGGGCGGAAGCGACATCTAGTCAAGAGCAGGGCAACATTGTTGGAAATGCTTCTCCCAGTCAGTGTAGAGTGACTGCCCAGCCTCCAAACCTCTTTGTGAACCCTTTTCCTCATGACCTGGCGTTTGCCTCACCCCCAAGGGGCAGAGTTAATGGCCCCTTCCCTTGGATTTGGGAGTGGTGGGTAGGTGACAGTTCCCAGCACCATGAGGATGGCATTTTTTACCTTGGTAGGATGTATCTAGAGGGGAACAGGGTGGGGCCAGGACCCGGGGGGGTGCAGAGGCTAAGGTGGACAGAGCCAAGACATGAGGGCAGGAAGGAGCAAGGCCTGAACCAATAGGGAGGAGGAGTCATGGCCTGTTCGGGCATCACGTTCCATTTAACTGGGTGGGTGTTGCTCTCCCTAGGCAGGGCACATGTATCAGTTCACTTGCTGTAGCTGCCCTGACTGGGCCCGAGGAAGTTGCCCACCAGGTGACCCCCCCACTGCCCTGTCCTGCACCTCGTGTAGGTGCCACAGGGATCCCCAAGGCATCTCCCCTGTGCCCAGTATGGCCCAGTCCTAGCTGGGGGCATCACTAGTCCTGAGTTCTCTGACCTGACACACACACAGGGACCCAGGAGTCCTGATTCCCAGGAGCCATGTAGGCAGGGACAAGGAGAGGGGAGTGGGTTCTCTAAACACCATAGTCAGAGCTGGGGATAGAACCCAGGAGTCCTAACTCTTAGCCCCCTGCTCTAACCTGCTGCTCACCCCCCACTCCCCTAAGCTCTGGGGACTTTCCAAACCCGTTTAGCAGGTTGTGGAGGAGGCTGAAGGTCAAAGAGAACCTCCCCCCTCCCACTCCCCCATGTGGCTGGGACAGTGCCTGCCTTCCCCTTGTGATGAGCTGACTGTCCCTGCTCAGAGTCAGGGTTGCTTATGCCAACCCAGGAGCCCCATACAGGCACAAAGGGCATACCAGGACTCCTGGGTTCTATCCCTAGCTCTGCCACTGACCTTGCACAAGTCCCTTCTCCTTTCTGTGCTTTAGTTTCCCCTTGTCTATTTAGACTGGAAGCTTTTCAGGGCTGTGTCTCTGTGCAGTGTCCGGCATGATGCGGGGCCCCCATCTGGGTCAGGGTCTATGCAGCAGCACCCAGTGTGATGGCCCCAGGGGGCTGAGTGGGTAGGGTAGGCAGAGTGGGGTGGGGATTTCTGAGCAGTACAGTCAGTCGCTAAGAGTCTGGGAAGGCCCCAGGCAACCTTCCAGTGCCTGGGAAGTCAGGTCACACCTGTGTTTGCAACTAAACCGGCCCCAACCGAGCCAGCTGGGTTAGCAGGGGTGGCTGCAACACACACGCAGCACCGGCCCTCAATCCCAACCCACAGCCCTCTGCTATCCCAGCCTGGGCTCTCCTCCAGCACTGCCGG